TTACACTATTTTAACAGTTTCAGGACTTGCTGCACCACTGCACATCGCAACATTTTAAAGTGTATAAATCTCAAAGTGTATATCTTAAAAGTCGGGAATAAACTCAGTGTACTAAAGAAATAAAATATATTCTCTAAACTGTGCATTTTAAACTCCCCCCAAAAAATAAACACTTAGAAAACTGGTGTGACGAGACCAATCTTGCCACATTGCATTGGAGGAGCCTGGTTGCCCACCTGCTGCCTTTGGATTATGGACCGGCAGCTAAAGGGTTAATTTTACTGTGCAGAAGGGTTTATTTCTCCCTTTCTGCACAGCCGTTCGGTAGATTCTATCTACCGAACAAACAGACTTCTATCAGCCTCCCCAGAGCCGTGGGAAGCCGGCCGGCGCCGTTAATTGGCCACCCAGAAGCTGGAGTGCGCCCTCCATTTACCTCCCTGAAGCCGCGGTTAACCGCGGCTTAACGAGCGTGTGCCGGCAATTGACCACCCAGTAGCTGCGGTTAACCGCAGCTTAATTGATTGTTACTGGGTGGTCGCGGTTACACTTAGCCGCCACACGATGGCGGTGTTCTGGAGCTCCCCGGGCAGCCAGCGCTTTTCTGCCCGGCTTTCCTGCACCAAACCCGGACACTTTTACGTGCAGGCACCGCTGAACCTCCAACCCCTGGTTCTAATTCGTACGGATTTAACGAATGCATGTAAATTCGGTATTTTATGTTGGAGGAATGTTTTAACCCAGATAGCTATGCCATGGAGCCTGTTTGTGGAATTAAAGACTTTGGCTCCATGGCAATTAAACTGTATTCGTGTGGTCTGAGTGCCATTCACCTAATAATGTGCACTCAGACCTGAGCTATCTGGGGATATGTTACATGTATATATTTACTGTACCATTTGTCCCATTATGTATTTTAAAGTGATAGTCTGTCTTTGTGTCCCCACGTGTGTAATGGAGTTTTGCCTTTGTCCTGGGAGATAATTGAATTACTTCTCCAGGGCAGAGGGGAGGAAGCCAGGATGCATTGTGGGGATGTTTTACTTCTGTATGTCTGTAAATTGGTACATGTCTGTCTTTGTTAGCTTCCATCCATCCTGGGGAGTGTCCACCAGGGGGAGACCTGCATAAATACTGGGCAGGTAGCCCTCATTAAACAGACCACTGCTTGACCCACAACACGAAGTCGTCCCTCGCCTTTGGGGATTTACCGTATGCCGATAGAAAGACGATTGCCAGGAGTGTAAGCCGCTTGGGTGCTTTTCCTGTTCGTCTGCTAGCAGCTATTCGTGAGGTTCCAGTTCGGGTGTTTGGAGCATTCCCTTGTATGCAGTTCGAGTGTTTGGAGCATTCCCTTTTATGCAGTTCGGGTGTTTGGAGCATTCACTTGTATGCAGTTCGGGTGTTTGGAGCATTCACTTGTATTCAATTCGTGAGTTTTGGTGATTCTACAGTAGCTGTGCCTGTCTCTGAAAGGGGATTATCGTCTAAGCGTTTTTTTTCCCTTTTGAGCAAAACGGTCCGTTACAACTGGTTTCTTCTTAGTTCAATAACCTAAAACAAAAAATGCCGGTGCAAATAGTGCAGAACAGTAAGATAATAAGGTATAAGGAAAGGCAGATTAACTATTAACCCCTTAAGGACCAAACTTCTAGAATAAAAGGGATTCATGACATGTCACACATGTCATGTGTCCTTAAGGGGTTAAAGCGACAAACTAATTTAAAATAATACAAAAATCAAGAATGTGTACTGGCACTCTTCCATTCAAATAAGTGCTGGATATCTAGGTAGCCCACTCCAACTACCTCAAAACGTATGTACAAATAAGCTTATGATACAGCACTCAAACTGGCTTAAGAGAGATATTTACAAGTATATATAATTTAAAATAATAACCTTACATTTTATGTGATTTAAAAGCATTGAATAATGCATTACTATGGGGATATCCTAATGGGAGCGCAGCCATTGGCGTGCATGCGCATTAGTTCTCCCCCAACGAGAAGGGGAGGCAGACCTGCGCCAGCACAGAGGTATATCAGCGCTGGAGCCAACTACGTGACAATAGTTTTTTTTATCCCCTTAAGACCGCAGGGCCTTCTATGCCGTCCTTATTTAGATGGCTCTAAACTCCACAGGGCGGCATAAATCGCCCTGCGATCTTATGTACTTACCCAGTCGCCGGCGTTCCCACGCCTGCGATCGCGGTATGGAGACTCACCTGGGAGCCCAGGGAGTCCCCCTCCGTCCTCTACAGCCCCCCTGGGCCATGTGATCGCGAGGTCCTTGCGAGGACCTCACGATCACATGGACGGCATAGCAGTCCAAGGCATTGCCAGCAGGGGGAGTGCCTGTAATGACAGCTACTCCTCCTGCTGTCTGAAAATAGAATAAACGTTAAAACAGTGTCAAATTTAATTATATATACTTAGATCATATATATATTTATTATATGTATGATCTAAGTATATATATATATATATATATATATACACACACACACACATACATACATATGTACACATACACTGTCTAAGCGTATTTTAATATTAATATATATAATTATATAAACATTAATATCAAAATACACGTACAATGATATCGATTAAATATATATATATAATTTTCATTATATATATATATTTCTATATAATAAAAATAAATATGTAAATACGTTAAATAAAATTAAAAAAACTAATAAAAAATAAATAAAAAATATATATACATGTGTAATTTCGTTCTAACTGTATTTTAAAATTAATATATATAGATATCAAAATACATGTAGAACGAAATAATATATATCTATATAAATAAGTATATACGTATATATCACTATATGTATACCTATATATAAATAAAAATCATTTAAAAAAATTATATACATATATATCTACACACATATTTACACACGTATTTATATATATATATATAATAATTCTACGTATATATGTATGTAATAATTTTACATAATTAGGTCATTTTATTAATTACAATTTGCAGGACCTGCCTGACAACCCAGGCCGAAAGTAAAGGGAATTTAATTTGCTAGCACTATATTTAACCCTGTAACTTTCCAAGACACCATAAAACCTGTACATGATTCACAGAACACAAATATTAGTGTTTCAAAACAGTAAAATGTATTACAACGACAATATCGTCAGTGACAGTGAAATTTTTTGAATTTTTCACACACTAATGGCACTTACACTGACAATATCATTGTTGTGATACGTTTTACTGTTTTGAAACACTAATATTTGTATTCAGCGAAGTCTCCCGAGTATAACAGTACCCCTCATGTACAGATTTTATGGTGTTTTCAAAAGTTACAGAGTCAAATATAAGGCTTGCGTTTCAGTTTTTTCACATTGAAATTTGCCAGGTTGGTTATGTTGCCTTTGAGACCGTACGGTAGCCCAGGAATGAAAATTACCCCCATGATGGCATACCATTTGCAAAAGTAGACAACCCAGGGTATTGCAAATGGGGTATGTGTAGTCTTTTTTAGTAGCCACTTAGTCACAAACACTGGCCAAAATTGGGTTCAGATTCGTTTTTTGTATTTTCAAATATTATCACTAACTTTGGCCAGTGTTTGTGACCAGGGCCGGCCTTAGGGGTGTGCGAGCTGTGCGACCGCACAGGGCGCCATGGAACAGGGGGCGCCCTGTGGCCGACACAGCTCACTCATGGCCGGCCTCCACCCGGGTCTATTAAAAAAATAAAAAAAAATAAAAAAATCGCGGCAGAGGGGGCGGGGTTTACCGAGCGGCGGAGGCGGGGCTTATCGAGAGGCGGAGACGGGGCTAATACCTCCCGAAGCCCCTGCTGTACAGGAAGAGGGAAAGATGCTTCACCATCAGCCAACTGCATCCACTGGAAAGAGGTAAGTGTGTGTGTGTGACTGTTTGCCTGTTTGTGTGACTGTCTGTCTGTGTGACTGCCTGCCTGTGTGCGTGTGACTGTCTGTGTGTGTGTGTGACTGTCTGTGTGACTGCCTGTCCTTGTGTGTGTGTGTGTGTCTGTCTGTCTCTGTGTGTGTGTGTGACTGTCTCTGTGTGTGCCTGCCTGTGTGTGACTGTCTGTGTGTGTGACTGTCTGTCTGTGTGACTGCCCATGTGTGTGACTGTCTGTGTGACTGTCTGTCTGTGTGACTGCCCGTGTGTGTGACTGCCTGTGTGTGTGAGACTGTCTGTCTGTGTGACTGTCTGTGTGTGTGACTGTCTGTCTGTGTGTGTGACTGCCTGTGTGTGTGACTGCCTGTATGTGACTGCCTGTGTGTGTGACTGCCTGTATGTGACTGCCTGCCTGCCTGTGTGTGTCTGTCTGTAACTATCTGTCTGTGTGTGACTGCCTGCCTGTGTGTGACTTTCTATCTGTGTGACTGCCTGCCTGTGTGTGTATAACTGTCTATGTGTGTGTTACTGTGTGTCTGTCTGTGTGTGTGACTGCCTATGTGACTGTCTGTCTGTGTGTGTGGCTGTAGCTGTGCCATTGTTTGTGCCTGTGCCTGTATGTGTGACTGCCTTTAACTGAGTGTGTGTGTACATGCCTGTAACCGAGTTTAAATTTCCCCCACCCCTTCCTGTCAAGGCCGCACTTTGACTGACAGACGCTCACTCACTGACAGACGCACACTCACTGACAGACACACACTCTCATATATACTGACAAACAATGACATACACACATACACTATTACTTGGACACACACTGACAGATGCACACTCTCACTGACAGACGCAAGCACTCACTGAAAGATGCACGACTCCACTGACCGACACATACACACTGACTGACACACACTCACTGACCGACACACACTCACTGACCGACACACACTCACTGACCTACACATACACACTCACTGACCTACACACTCACTGACCGACACACACTCACTGACCGACACATACACACTCACTGACCTACACACTCACTGACCGACACACACTCACTGACGACACATACACACTCACTGACGACACATACACACTCACTGACTGACACATACACACTCACTGACTGACACATACACACTCACTGACCAACACACACATTCACTCACAGACACACACACATTCACTTACAGACACACACACATTCACTTACAGACACACACAATTACACACTTACAGACACACACACACACACACACACACACACACACATTCACTTCAAAATAAACACTCACAGACACACACACAGACATTTCCACTAACACTCACAAACTAATATTTTTTACATTTTATTTTAAATCCACCCAGCCTCCCTGGGAAAGCTGGAGTGGATTTCTTACCAGCAGTCCAGTGTGGCTGCTGGGCAGGCAGGCAGGGGGCGCACAGGCTGAGTAAGCAGCGCTTAGTGATGCCGGGAGCCGGACTGACGTCATATTCTGGCTCCCGGCTTCATTAAGCGGCGCAGAGGAAGCTGAGCAGAAGAGCTCAGGTGAGTATGCTCCTTCGCTGCCCGCTGCCAGCCTTGGGGGGGCTCAAAAGTGGCCAGCCGGTCAGCTCTTGAGCCCCCCAGGATGCGAGGCAAGCAAAGGATCTGCCTGGGGGTTTGGAGGGATGCTTTTTTTTGCCGCCCCCTGCAAAGTGGCGCCCAAGGCAGATGCCTTGTTTGCCTCGTGATACACACGTCCCCGGTGCCTCTGTGTGTTACTGTATTCAGGCAACTTGGTGGGAGGTGGGGGGGGCGCCGTGAAGACTTTTTGCACAGGGCGCCTAATTGCCTAAGGCCGGCCCTGTTTGTGACCAAGTGGCTACTAAAAAAGACTGGACATACCCCATTTGCAATACCTTGGGTTGTCTACTTTTGCAAATGATATGCCATCATGGGGGTAATTCTTATTCCTGGGCTACCATATGGTCTCAAAGGC